TTGGTGCATCTCCCTCAGCGTTTGAGCAATATATAACAAGATTGATTTCTCACCCTCTCTTAAAATGTCATCACTTTTTCTGTCTCATTCAGTTACGCATACATGCAGACATACACACAGATATATCTAGAGAGATATACAAAGAGATATATGGAGACAATCATATGCACAGATATATATAGAGAGAGACAAACATCTGTATATATATGTTTATCTCTCTCTCTCTATATATATATATATATATATATATATATATATATATATATATATATATATATATATATATATATATCTATATATATATATATATATATATATATACATATAAGGATAAACATTTATATATATATATATATATATATATATACATACATATATCTCTATATATATATATATATATATACATACATATAGAGAGGGATAAACATATATATATATATACATACATACATATAGAGAGGGATAAACACACACACACACATATATATATATATATATATATATATATATATATATATATATATATATATATATATATATATATATAGAGAGGATAAACACACATATATATATATATAGAGAGGATAACATATATATATATATATATACATACATATAGAGAGGATAAAATATATATATATATATATATACATACATATAGAGAGGGATAAAATATATATATATACATACACATATAGAGAGGGATAATAAATATATATATATATACATACATATAGAGAGGGATAAACATATATATATATATATATATATACATAGAGAGGGATAAACATATATATATACATACACATATAGAGAGGATAAAAATATATATATATATATACATATAGAGAGGGATAAATATATATATATACATACATATAGAGAGGGATAAACATATATATATATACATACATATAGAGAGGGATAAACATATATATATATACATACATATAGAGAGGGATAAACATATATATATATATACACATAGAGAGGGATAAACATATATATATACATACATATAGAGGGATAAACACATATATATACATACATATAGAGAGGATAAAACATATATATATACATACATATAGGATAAACACATATATATATATACATACATATATAGAGAGGGATAAACACATATATATATACATACATATAGAGAGGGATAAACACATATATATATATACATACATATAGAGAGGGATAAACACATATATATATACATACATATAGAGAGGGATAAACATATATATATACATACATATAGAGAGGGATAAACACATATATATACATACATATAGGGATATATATATATATATATATATATATACATATATATAGAGAGGGATAAATATATATATATATATATATATATATACATACATACATATAGAGAGGGATAAAATATATATATATATATATACATACATACATATATAGAGGGATAAACATATATATATATATATACATACATATATAAGGGATAAATATATATATACATACATACATACATAGAGGGATAAACATATATATATATATATATATATATATATACATACATACATATAGAGGGATAAACATATATATATATATATATATATACATACATACATATAGAGAGGATAAAATATATATATATATATATATATATATACATATATATATATATATAGAGAGAGAGATAAACCTATATATATATATATAGAGAGAGAGAGAGAGAGAGAGAGAGAGGTATACACAAATATCGCAGATATTTTTTTTTACATAATTACAACCAAAAACAGTCAACACATATCCGTTTACGGTAGATAATGCACTACTATTGTACAAATTTTATTAAAACAGTGAAAACTCATCTCCTCGACTTAGAGTTTGTGAGAAAGGATATCTATTGCCGGGCGAATAGCATTTTTAGCGATCTCTGTAAGAGAGGATATGTTTGAAAATGTTATTTTCTTCCTATGTTTCAGGGTTTACGGACATATGAAGTTGAAACGCCGCTTCCCCTACTATCACAGATGGTAAGAATCGTCAAGCTTCGTCAGTAACTTGATGTTTGACCGTTTAAGATTACCAGGAACTGTAAGCCAACAACTTTGAGTAGTGTAATGCATAATGGAAATTGGAAAACAGAAAACCGAGTTCCGATTCCAGTCTGGTTCGTTATGTTCTCTTAGGCAAAACTATGCTTAGGGAAAGATATGAATTCACCTCCTCTCCTTCTAGATAGGATATGTATCTTTAAAACATTCTTAAGATCTGAAAATATTTTCTGGCGTTAAATAACACACACAAGATCAATAAGCTATAACATTTCAATCAACCTATCGGAAAGAGTTAAAAATCAATTAGTAGCAAAGTAAAAATTTAATTATATTTTGGATTAACAAGAATTAAAGAAAATTACTGACTCATATCATTGTTTTTGTTATTTTACATCGTTTCGGTCTTCTTCATCTGTCAGCTTTTAAAAGGTATTCTTCGATGAGCCGTGTCCCTTCAGGTCGTGGACGAGCATGGCTCTCTACCACCGACTAAAACAATTGTAATATATTTTCTATAGAAATTATTTCTACTTATATCTGTCCCATTCTTTAACCGTTTCTTCACTATTGCCTTGAGGAAAATAGACTATTAATGAAGGTAATCAGTTATTGAACGACTAGGCTTAGTAGTGGTAGTATATCTATCTTAAACAATACCTGTCAGCATGCTTCTGTTAATCTTTAAAATTTATTCGATGAGATTTCCGTTGTCATTTTACGAATGTGGTCTACATTTTCTTTTTAACGAAAGTGATGGATTCTGATAAAATAACGGGGGAAATATCAAGCCATACTGAGATCTTATCAAACATATGTATAATAAACACTACCAGACACATACTTGATCTACTTGAAGCTTGTTGTCAGTCAGACATATCTTACTAAATTGCGAAACAAGCCATCCTCTACCTGACGCCTTATTCTCATAGAACAAACACTCTCTCTGTCTCGGTTCCATAAGTTTCAAATCTATAAAATATAAAATCTACAATGTCACTAGGCCTGGTAAAACACCTCTAGTTGATCTTCAGAACCTTAACAAGGAACTATCGCCAATTTTGGTAAAATTGTTTTACTGCCGCCTGAAGGAGAACTGTTACAAAGGGCAATAGAAGGTTTCAGCTGTTTTCCCAGTGTCAATAAAGACAAAAATGGGGTTGTGAGCGTCCATGCCTGTCGACACATTGTCATCAGACTCAAGAGAATATCAAAACATTGGGTTTATATCACAGAGAATTTTTTTGTAAGGTTGCTTTTAATTTTCCTGCCGTATCTAGTCAGATTCTCCTATACATTTAAAAATCTTTGATAGAATACAAAGAAGTTATCTGCAATGTTTTTGGACCTGACATAGCACCTCGGCTTCAATCACTTTCCTACCGCAATAATTTGGCTCCCATCTGCCGTTTATGTTGATCGTCTAGTCTCTAAACGTTATGAATTTAAGTGCAATAATAGATTGCTGTCAAGGTTTTTTTATTTTACAATTGAAATGGCTAGATGAAACCGGAAACTATATTCTAACAGTTTCTTCTATCGTAAATCTATCGATTGGGGAATTCCCTTCCGGCTTCCTGCGTCCAGGTCAAATTTGATATTCAAAAAACTATATGCAATATCAAGTGATTCGATGAGATTTCCTTTGTCATTTTACGAATGTGGTCTACATTTTCTTTTTAAAGGAAGCGATAGAAGCTGATAAAATAACGGGTGAAATATCAAGCCATACTGAGATTCTATTACACAATGTATGAGGGACACTACCTGAAGCTTATTGTCTGTCAGTCATATCTTAATAAATTGCGCAATCTAGATTAATAACATAGAGCTACATTACTAGTTTATATATATATATATATATATATATATATATGTAAGCAAATAGATGGATATAAATCCGACAGTATGAAGAAAAATATATATGGAAAAAACAAACAAAAATCCTTATATACAATTATGCTGTTTTAATGTTAATATGTACATCGTCTTTGTCATGTTGTATTGATAATGTTATAATTTATGAATATGTCCTTAAGATGGTTTATTAGGCCGAAACGTCCGACGTTGACATATTAACATTAAAACAGCATAATTGTATATAAGGATTTTTGTTTGTTTTTTCCGTATATATTTTTCTCTCTATATATATATATATATATATATATATGTTTGTCTGTGTTTATTTTCTTCTCTCCTCAATAGTATATTTTTCATATTCTTTAACACTTGGTAACATCTTGCATCTTAGTGGCTTTATTGCCTTGCTTGAGGTGAAATGTTTTACATAATAATCATTACAACAGAAACGACATATTGAGCTAAAAGCAGTATTTAGTGTCTTTACGTGTATGGCTAATGTTTGAACTAAATTTTCGCATAGAATATGTAAAGTATTTGATAATGAATCCATTGAAGTGTTCTCATTTATCATGTCCTTCCCACCTGTTAATTCTATGGATTCTCTTCTTAAGCTCATGGCATCATTGTAGGTTTTCCCAAGGTTATCTCCACCATACTATATTTTTTTCTGTTATGTATTAGCAAGCCTCAAAACAGTATTAAATATATACGCCGACTTTACCAGAGCTGATGAGTGCTAGCAAAAATTCTTGATATTCAGAGCCTGGATGCAGATCTATACACTGGAGTTGATTGTATATGTCAATGGGAAAGGAACAGTATTATAGTATTCAGTACCACCCAAACTAAGCTATGAACGTTTCATAATCACAAAGCAGGCATGAATTTTCTCTCGTTCCGAAATCATTCTACACCGACCACTACAATTGTAACATCTTCATGTATAGATATCATTTGCTCTCTACCTACACATACTTCTGACAATATTGTTTAGTAACCGTGTAACTTCAGTGTTCTTGAGCCTTGTATTGGATTAACAAGAGTTCAAAATGTTATAGTTTCTTCTTATCTTTCGGTGCTCATGTATATATGAAGTTGAAACACCGGTTCTCGTACGATCACAGAAGCAAGGAAACGTCGCGCCTGATTAGTAACTAAATGGTTGACCATTTGGGAATACCAGGAGCTGTAAGCTTAGATTTGCTTGTAGTGTAACGAATAAGGGAAATAACATATCGAAAAGCCAAGTTATACTTCCAGTCTGGTTCGTTATATTTCATTACGCGCAAATACCCTTCAAGATACGAATTCATCTCATCTTGCAGATATGACTTATCTCTAAAACATTCTTACGATCTAAAGATATTTTCTGGTGTTAAATAACATGCACAAAATTAATCACCTGTAAACATTCAATCACGGTATCCCATATATCGGGGAAAAAAGTTATAGATAAGTTGTTAGCAGCAAAGAAAAGAATTTAAATATATTTAAAATTAACAAGAATCAGAAATATCTAAAGATTAATATCCTTATCTTTGTTGTTATTGTAGATCATTCCATCTTATTCAGCTGCCAGTTTTCTGGGTATTCTTCTATGTACAGTCTTCCTTCTGATTGTGGTCGGTCATGGCTCTCCACCAACTCCTATCTCATCTAGCTCTAAGCAAACTTTTCCCGTTTGTCAAACCACTCACAGTCTTGGACTAGATATATTTCAGTGAATCCAAAATTAATCACCTTAATTTACAAAAGGTAGATGCAGGTTTCACTAGCCTACTGCGTTAAAGGAACAGTTCATTAATTTAATGAGTTAGTAAATATTTGCATTTTTTATAATCGGACTATTGTCCTCATCATTGTTGTTATGGTCATCACAAAGTTTCGGTCTTTGTGTCCATCGGCATTTCTCAATATTATATCGATCTGTGTAATCTAGAGGGAAATCTGAACTGATCATTTTATTTAATTTATAAACTATTCTCTTTTCAGTGCTCATATCTAGGGATACTGTCTTGTTCTAGTTTTTATTTTGTATTGTTTAGTTATTGCTCATTTTCCACTTTCAGACACAGATATTCACCTTTCAACCACAATGTCAAAAAAGAAAGCTTTTGTCTACTAGAGCATTGACCGTAGAAGAATTTACATTAATACGAGTAGGCTGTAATTGTCAATGCAATATCTACGCTTGGAGATACGGAATTAGCTTCTTTGAAAACAGGAGGGACATTTACTGAGTACGACAAACTCTAAACAAGATGAGATATCTGTAGAAATTCAAATCAAATCGCGAACAAACACAGATAAAGACATTCGTACGAGTGTAAATAAGATCGTTGGAACTGCTAGTTGAAGTTGGACGTGTTTGGGATTTATATTAAAACAGTCAGAAGATATACTGGAAGCATACGAATGGTAAACGAATTCAGTAAATATAAATATATATAAAGCAATGCAAGACAATGATGAGTCATCTCAAGAGCCTTATTCAACTTTTACAGTGAAGTTATTTTGATAGAATTAATGTCCTAGCATGATACTACTACTGTCCTCCTCAGATGAGAGTGATGATAGCAGACACAGGACAGAAAAGATAAGTGTTTTTATTGTCAGGAAATCCTTAAAAAAGTAGTGAATGAAAACGAGAAATAAAAAGAACTAAAAATCGACAAAGAAGATAGTATATGGTTGTCTGCAAAATTCATCAACCAACTTGTAACCGTCCTGGGTAAGACGATAAACGACATCAAAAACGAAAGCAAGACCACTGTTTAGGTTTTGAGGAGTGGTGAACCACCTATTAATTGCTGGTGTTCCCAGGCCCCCATATATATATATATATATGTTATATCTCCAAATTAGAGAAAGAACAGATGGATTAAATTTACACTATTCACGGCATTTACTTTTAAAATCCACAAGAATCAATACAAAATAGAGCGCTATATTATTATTAAGAAATTATTACAAAAACATGTTGAAATCGTTCCACAAAAGATTTCATGTTTCAGTACTATGATTGTACTTCTTCAGGCGATAGTAAGTAACTGGTATTTAAATTATATTGAAGGAAATTTAAAATCTTCTAGTTAAATTTATGTCTGAATAACCTACCTTTCCCTTCACCGATCTCTCAAAAAATTAAACTTATCTACAATTAGTCTGCAATCACGATACATTTATCGCTGATAAGATGGTCTGTCTGTTCCGGTTTATAACGACATGAAAAAATAACTCACCCACCTCCATCCTTTGAGCTTACTTTTCTATTTAGCGTAGATGTGGGTTTTAATTGGTTAATCAAGACATACCCACAAGTCTAATTTTAATTCTAACATTATGTCCGCCTTCTTTAACTTTCGGAAAAACGTAACACTTTGTTTTAAATTTTCTTATAAATTATTTAATCACTAGTTAGTATCGCCTGAAGAAGAGCAATCAAATTATTGATACATGAAAGCCTTTTTGTTGCGATTTCAACATGTTTTTATTATAATCTCTCAATAAAAATAACACACACAATATAAATATATATATATATATATATATCAAAATCTGCGTAAGATTGAACCTTGTCTTAAATTCTGGGGGCATTTAATCATATCTACTGTTTATTTAGGCATCCACTAATATATGCCACATCGTCACAAACCTATCTGCCTACACAAATTCAAATAAAATGGCTGTAGATATGAAAAAGACATTGATGTTGACAAATAAATTTGAAGGGCACAGACAGTGGCAGTAGTGAGGTGAAAATGGCTACAACAAACAAAGCTATGTCGCGACCAGTATTTGTCTACCATTTCATGGCAGAGAAAATGTCAGACGGTAAAGATTAAAAAAAAAAACAATGGAACATAACAGAAAGAGTGAGAGAATGAAAATTATTATTTCTAAAGAAGTCACTTTCGAAGAAAAACCCAAAAAGGAGGAACGGAAACACATTTATATAAAAAAAGACTGAATATTACAAAAATTCTAGAAAAATAAGAAAAGAAAGGAAGAAAAATGAAGAAAAAGAAAGAAGGAAAATGGTGAAAAGGCAATTGAAATTATTGACTTCATAATAGTAGAAAGAATTAAAAATATTTAAAAATGAAATATTTACAACCCAAAAGTAAAAAAATAAAAATATTAACGAATAAAAAAATAAAAAAGAAAAATGAAATATTAAAAATAAAATAAAAATGAATGAAAGAAGGTTAAAAAAAAATATAAAATAAAGAAAGAAAAAAGAAACAAGGAAAGAAAGAAGAAATTGAAAAAAGAAAAAAAGGGAAAGAAAAAAAAGGAAAGAAAAATATTTGAAAAATGAAAAAAAGGAAAAAAAAAAAGGAAAGAAAGAAACAAGGAAAGAAAAAACAAGGAAAGAAAGAAAAAGAAAGAAAGAAAAAGAATAAAAAAAAAGAAAAAGAAAAAAAAGAAAAGAAAGAAAAAAAGGAAAAAAAGAAACAAGGAAAAAAAAAAAAGAAAGAAAGAAAAAGGAAAGAAAAAAACAAGGAAAGAAACCAAAAGAAAAAAAAGAAAAAAACAAGGAAAAAAAAAGGAAAGAAAGAAAAAGGAAAAAAAAAAAAAGGAATTTAAAAAGAAAAAGAAAGAAAGAAACAAAAAGAAAGAAAAAGGAAAAAAGAAACAAGGAAAGAAAGAAACAAGGAAAAGAAAGAAACAAGGAAAGAAAGAAAAGGAAAGGAAAGAAAAAAGGAAAGAAAAGAAAAGGAAAAAGAAAGAAAGAAAAAAAGAAAAGAAAAAGAAAAAAGAAAAAGAAAAAAAAAAAGAAAAAGGAAAGAAAGAAAGAACACTATTCAAGGAAAAAGAAAGGAAGGAAAAAAAGAAAAAGGAAGGAAAAATGTAAGGCAGTGAAAGAAGGAAGGAAAGAAGAAAAAAGAAAAAAAAAAAGAAAAGAGTAAAGAGGGATTTAGAAAAAAAGCAAATGGCAAAAAGAATTAAAAATGGAAAAATGAGTAAATGGATAACAGAGAGAACGGTTAGGTAAGAGAAACCAATTTTGAAAGAATGAATGAGAGAGAAAGAGAGAAGTAATATGAATGAAAAAAGGAAGAATATGAATGAAAAAAGGAAGAATATGAATGAAAAAAGGAAGAATATGAATGAAAAAAGGAAGAATATGAATGAAAAAAGGAAGAATATGAATGAAAATGAATGAATGAATGTTGAAGAATATGAATGAAAAAGGAAATGAATGAAAAAAGGAAGAATATGAATGAAAAAAGGAAGAATATGAATGAAAAAAGGAAGAATATGAATGAAAAAAGGAAGAATATAAAAGAATGAAATTATCTTGAATATATAAAAATAGAAAAATATTCAACAATATATGAATGTCAAAATTTATAAAAATCTTTCTTTATATATATATATATATAATATAGAATATATATATGAAGAAAAATCATGGAATTAAATAAGAAATATAAGCATGAATAAAGATACACTCTGGCTAGGGAAATATTTTTTTGCGAATTATAGTTAGAATGTTTTAAAATCGACCAGGCAAAGAAAAATGTTGCGTGATAGTGACAGGTTGAAATAAGCATACAAAAGTGAAGCCGACAGTAAAAATATACATAGAAAGAGACAATATGTCAAATAAAGAGAAATGGCTCACAGAAGTAAATTGGAAATGGCACTATAGAGAAAAAGCACAGAAAGGAAGAATTGGTTTGGTCATATTCCTGTGTGCGTGGTCTGGGGGATATTGCTTCTTCGATAAGTAATGTTCGTTGTATATTTCTGTTTCTGTCCACTCGCACTCTCGGAGAGTGAGAGGGGGAAGAGGCAGTGACAAAAAGAGAGAGAGAAAGTGTGTGTGAGAGATGCAGAGAGAGAAAGAAAAAAAAATGAGAGATGCAGAGAAAAGTGTGTGAGAGATAAAAGAGAGAGAGAAAGTGTGTGTGAGAGATGCAGAGAGAGAAAGTGTGTGTGAGAGATGCAGAGAGAGAAAGTGTGTGTGAGAGATGCAGAGAGAGAGAGAGAGACAAAAACAAAAAGAGAGAGAGAGAGAGAGAAACAAAAAGAGAGAGAGAGAGAGACAAAAGAAAAAAAAAAAGAGAGAGAGAGAGAGACAAAAACAAAAAGAGAGAGAGAGAGACAAAAAAAAAAAAGAGAGAGAGAAAAAGACAAAAGAAAGAGAGAGAGAGAGAGAGAAGACAAAAACAAAAAGAGAGAG